GACTGTCTAGCCAAATACATTAAAGAAAGGCGTTTATTGGGAGGTAACCCAATTTGTTTTAGTTGTTTGTTAAATTCTATTCGATAGTTTCAACATGTTTCTCTTAGAATTTTCACGAATTTTTGGTTTAATTTTCTGTTTTTGGTGATTAGTGGATGTCTTCTCGATGTGACGTACCCGTGTCAACAGGGCACGTGATAATGTGCAATTCTCAAGTTCTTCATCAGAAGGGTTTCCATCTTCATGACGTGCCCCAGTCAAGTTGTCGGGAGAGCTCTATCTTCGATCCTGGAGCAGACTGATTAACATGACGTACCCGTGTCAACAGGGTGCGTGGTAATGAGCAATTCTTGAGTTTCCCATCAGAAGGGTTTCTACCCTCATGATGTGCATGCGTCAACAGGGCACGTGGTAACTTTCAATTCAATGAGTCATCGTCAGAAGGGTTCCTACCATCATGACATGATCACGTCGTGTCCTAGGGGAATGTCAAAAAAAATGAAAATTTTTTTCTTTCCTTTCTCTTCCTTTTCCTTTCTTTTTCTCTCTTCTTTCTTTCTCTCTTCTTTCTTTCTTTCTTCCGTCCTTCTCCATCCGAACTCCACTGCTGCCAACCATCAACATGCATCGAGTTCCATAATCATTTGCCCCTCATCCGTAGCTATCCACGACCCCCTCAATTATCAGGGAAGTTTCGTTATCCCCATTACTTTTTTTATTCTTTATTTTATATTGGAGACAATGTAAGATTTAGGTGTGGGGGGAGTAGTACATTGATAGTATATTGCAAAAGTGTAATGTAGGCATTTTTGTTAATTTTTTTTGTTCGATTTTTTTATCGAATTTTTGCTTATCTTTATGCATACTTGTAGTTGTTCCTGATAAATGATGGTTAGACGTCTCAAATTTTTCTATTACTATGATTTTATACTCTAAAGTGTTAAGTATGACATGATTAAATTTAAGGATATCTTTTTGGTGAATATTTGAGATTTTGTGACTTTTGCACTTTTGGGTTAACTTCTCTAAGTATTGAAAATATTTGTTTAGTATTTTTTTTGTGCAAATTGGTTCGACTATTAATCTTAGTTCTCCATATTTAAGAAATGAAGGGGGTTTTTATGATTTTTAATTTTAATTTGGTGCTTATTTATTAACAATATTTGGCTATACTCCGCTAGTATCGTTGCCTAGTAACCGGAGGTCTTCACCACAAGTGTCGATTTTCACGTAAAAAAACGACGATAACTATGAGTATGTGATTTTTAAGGGATGAGGGCTGAGTAACCGGGCTCCTTCAATTGGCAAATATCAGAGTTCGTGTCAAAACTTTTAAATGGCTAAAGACTAAGCATTCCCCCTGAAAAAAATGAAAATAAGAGCTAAAGTATGGAGATATTTTAAAAAAAAGGGATGAACTAATAGTGAAAAATGTGCAAGTGTGTGAATAATTATGTTAGCCTGATGATCTATGAAGTTAATGTTGAGATTTTGCTTAATAGTTGAACCGTTTGTTGAAAAATGCTGATTGAATATTTTATATTCTTAGATTAGTTAGTCATAAATTGGAAGAGTCCTTGATCTTGAAAGCTAATTGGAGAGATATTTCTTAGAGATTAGCCACTAATATTGGATATGTATTTTAATTGTATCTCGGTAATAAAAGATTTAAGCAATAGCCATTGTTTGAATTTGATTGCTTGATTTGTTTTTTTCATACTTGAGAATAAGCATGGTTTAGGTGTGGGAAAAATTGATAGGTCATAATTTGTTGCTAAATTTATAATTATTTTTCCCTTGATTTTAGCCAAATATTATTTTAATTATCGGATTCTACTTATATTTGCTATTTTATGTTAATTGTAGGACATTGGGTTGGAAGGGAATATGAGGGAATATTTTATTCTTAGGGAAATTAGGAAGTTTTATTTTATTTGGGAAGCTTAAAAGTAGGAAACGAAAAGGAAAGAAACGGCATCCCACATGATTAATACTTGGAAGAGGATCATGACTCTTTGGGTTGGAAGGGACGGCAACCGCAGGGCCTTCTTTTTCTATTGGGTAGTTTTTTTTTTAATTGTGAAACGTTGGCGCAATTTCCTTCAATGGAATTGTGTGAGTTACTCTCAATGGAGAATAACTAATTTCGCTTTCTAGTCGAAGGCCAACTTGAAGACGCGGTTCCAAACATCTGTGAGATCGAATTATTTTACTTATTTCTTTTATTTATTGGTATTCATACATTTTCTGGTTTAATTTCTTATGATTGTTTTGTTATTTGAATGTTAAGGGTCCGATATTTAAATTAACCTAATAATCTACTGCCAGATTAATTGATTGAATCCGTTATTGTTTGATCGATTAATACTAGTGGTGACCAGCGTGATTGGTCCCATGTTAGAGAAACGTATGATCTAATCTAAACAAACCCTCGTAACGTATTTGTTGGTTAGGGTTGGGCTTTTCCAATTTTTAATGCAATTGAGGAATTGAATCTTACGGTTGTACGTAGGGTTATTTTTTGGTTAGAAAAATAGTTAACGGTCATACCTTGACTATTGAAAAAGTAAGGAAGAGTTGGTTGTTTATCGCGTGTATGGCAACTATAATCAATTTATTAATGAGTAATTAAATTTTCATTGCATCGATGATCAGTTGAATGGACCATGTTTGAAAAGTTGCACCTTTGGCTAAAGTCGTACTTGTAATTGATTAATTCATATTTATTTCCGTTAGTTGTTTTATTAGTTGGTTAATTAGTTATTTTTATATTTTTATAAAAATCTCCCCATATTTTGAACTTGAGGAGAAACGAATTTCCCCAATCCCTGTGGTTTCGACCCTATTTACCACTATATACAAAATTTATCCTTTATTTGAGCAGGTATTTATTATTGCACAGGCTCGACAACCTGTCAATTTTAGGTCACTAATTTGCACCTTAAGTTGATAAATGAATGAGTTGTGATTTTGTCATTTTACTTGTAAAATATCGTTATTTTTGTAGGTAAAATGATCGAGTTCAAGTGGAAGCGAAATATGCGAGAATAGAAACTTGAGAAGTCACAACAAATGCTAAAAGAAGTGGTGCAAGGAAAGAAAAAGAGAGAGAGTGTGTGTGTGTGAGAAGAAACCCTCGAGGAATCCACCCACGAATTCTCCTGCAATTTATGGGTAGAAACTTCAATTCATAGAGAAAATCAATGAAACACTTACTCCACCCAATCTTGGGGAGAATCCCTCGAGGGATTTGTCCGAGAGATTCCTGGCAGTTGCAAGTTGTCAACTTGCATGATTTTTCTTTCTTTCTCCATTTTTGACAAGACAAAAAGGGACAAGTAGTACCAACTTTTAGGGATTCTAGGAGCTTCAGTCTTTGACATTTTTGCTCCAATAATGCAAGACCAAGAATATATACTACCTAGTTCTTCCAGTTTGGGAGTTTTTGAGTTCAAGTTAGCTTGAGAGAAGAGACAGAGAGAGAGAGTTTGGAGAAGAAGAAAAACAACCAAACGGTTGTTTCTTGCCCTTTGAGGCAATACTCAAGCACTCAACAAATGTAACTCTCTTTATTTTCTCTTATTTTAGTATAGTTTAGTGTTGTATAGTCTAGTTGTGGCTATCTATTCTTGTATTGGCTCAACAAAGAGGCCAAAAGATATGAAGAAGGAGAGGTTCAAGAAACTCTAGTGATAAGAATTTTCTTCTTTCCACATCTTTATCCTTGTGTTGAAATCTAAGTTTTGTTCATGCAAGATTTGGATATTGTATTTGTGATGTTGATTTAAAATATATGCCTTGGGTATTTGGTTAAACTTTCTATGACTGTTGGGTGTTGATTTCTTAGTTAATTGATGCTATTATCTTGATTGAGTTATTTAGCACTTTTAGTCTTATAATCATGATTAACTAACCATTGATTATGATCATCTAAAGGTATTAGATTTGTAATAAGAATTGGAATTTGACAGTAGTTCATCGAAGTGCTAAACCTATGGAGTACACTCACAAAAGTAGAGAAATATCTTTGTGATTTTTGTGGTTTTGTTCCATGTGATTTTATAGAAGTTAATGAATTTGTAGTTGGTTTCATAATCACGAAAGTAGGTATAAATTAACTATAGGTATAGTTGGTACATCAGCGAAAGCGAGTATTACTATATTAGAAAATTATGCCATAATTTAGCTGAGATTTTGGTACTCATTTGGTTAGAGAGTTGCACTAGCATGAATAGATAAGGATTCCATTTACCCAAGGAGCTTTTATTTGCATTTATCTATCCATTTATAACTTAGTTTATTTGTTGATAGTCTAAATAATAAAGAAGTTTTAGTAGTGCCAGTAGTTGCCCGTCTTCCTTGAGGGATCGACCCTTAATACCCTATACTCGCTCACGAGCCATATATTTGTGGAGAATCGTGTGTGGAGTATTTGAAAATTTATAAATGTAAAACTTATCTGTGGATTGAGCTTAATTGTTATATGCATAACCCGCGCTCGTCAAGTTTTTGGCGTCGTTACCAGAAAAGATTTGTAGCAATATTGGTGTGAAGAGTAACTTTATTAATTTAGACATTTTAGTTGTATTTATTGCATTTGTTGTGTTTGATGTTTTGTCTAAGTCTAGTCTTTTTGAGTTTGTTGAATCTAGTTGCTTTTGTGTGTTGAGTCTGGTGCGTCTTATATGTTATTATCTTTTATTTTTATGTTTAGTTTTTGTTTTAAACAACGATACCAATTTTATAAATATTAACACTTAATAACACAAGAGTTAATTACAAAAAGAGGTAACTACCCCCATATCCTTTCTAGCTAGTTCTGATAACCAATATGGGAATGATCCTTCCCATTCAATTATCCTAACTGACTTAACTGCAAATTATGCCATAGCATAGCTACAACTATTAGCAGTTCTAGGAACAAAAAAAAAAAAAAAACAGCATGTAAAGCTCTTCTTCAAGTCTTCAATGTCTTCCAGGATTGTTTATATCTTACATTCCTACACATTGCCTGAGTTGATTAGGTTCACCACATATTTACAGTCGGATTGGACCTCTATTGTAGTCCACCCTGTAGATCTGGCCATTTCCAGTGCACATCTTATTGCCAATGCTTCCTCTGTTGTTGCTTCACCTCTCCTCCTCGCCGTGATGCCTTTTGCTTTCACTATCTCTCCACGCCAATTCCTTGCAATTATCCCAAAGCCTGTCCGGACCATCTTAGCTGAGAGTGCCGCATCTATGTTAATCCTTATGACTCCTTCTTTAGGTGGTTCCCATTTTTGTTGTGACTGACCATTCTCTCCTGAAGTTGTATCTGACTGTCCAGTGGTTTCATTTTCAGCTTCATACTCGAGCCATTCTCTCTGTGCTTTATCAACAATCAGTTTTGCATCCACCCTCTCAGTCTGGAAGGTCATTTTGTTTCTAGCTTTCCAAACTTGCCACAATATGTTCACCGTGAGCTGAATTCTATCCAAGCCTTGCACCTCCCTTGCTGATTGCATCACAGCGTCCCACCATCTCCAAAAGTTGCATTGCAACTCGGCTATCCCTTCCCACTTCACTGGAGCAAGCTTCCATACCACTTGAGCAGCTGGGCAGTAGAATAGCATATGCTCGATCGTTTCAATATCCTCCCCACAGCCTACACACATGTTGCTTCCCTTCCCAATCCTCTTGCAAAGTACTTCATTGGCCGGCAGTGCATTTTGTAGGCATCTCTAGAGGAAGTGTTTCAGTTTCAGCTTAATATTCAAGCTCCACAGTCTTTTCCACACTGTATGTTCCTAATTTCCCAACTAGTTTCAGATACATGGGCTAATCTTCGACTCATGTTGTCATCTACCCCCTTAGCTACAGCATAACCTATCTTCACTGTGTAGACTCCAGATTGGCTATGCTGCCAAAACAATTTGTCTTTCCTTCGATAAATACTCAGGGGGATGCTGGTTATGATTTTATTTTTATGTTTAGTTTGTGTATGTATTTTATTATCTATTTGTCTTGACTAATCTTGCTCTTAAATTGTTTAAAAGCATTTTTAGGACATGAGAAAGATAGACAAAAGGGTGAACAATGTTTGAGATGAAAAAGTTAGGGCTATAATCCACAGTTTCCTCAATATGCAATGTATAGTGGTAGTAATCAAGGAAGAGCCGCAAGTATGTCTTTAATGATGGCTTGAGAAGTTTAAATGCTAAATTTGACTACATCATGCTAAGTGCTAAATTGGACAATTTGATGCATTTGATTGAGCAATATAGGAGTTTTGATACTTTGAATTCCAATCATGTAGTTTGTGACTTGTGTAGAGGCAACCATGCTAATTATCATTGGGTACAAGCGCCACATGTGGATCAATATGATGAATTTGGGCATTGCAATTCTTATTTTAATTAATATGGTCTTAATTGTGGTAATTCTTCTTACTATGGTTAGGATAATCAAGGTGCTAATAATGATTCTCCATATTTTTATGATTACCAACCGTTAACTTTTTCTCCAACCAAGAAATAACTCTAGGTACGACCGTAGGATTCAATTCCTAGATTGCATTAAGTATTAGAAAAATCCAACCCTAACCAACAAACACGCTATGAGGGTTTGTTTAAATTAGATCATATGTTTCCCTAATAAGGGACCAATCACGCTAGTCGCCACTGGTATTAACCAATCAAACAATTACAGATTTAACCGGTTAATTTGACAGTAGATTATTAGGTTAATTTAAATATTGGACCCTTGACATTCAAATAACAAAACAATCATAAGAAGTTAAATCAGAAAACGTACGAATACCAATGAATAAAAGAAATAATTAAAAATAATTCAATCTCACAGATGTTCGGAACCGTGACTTCAAGTCGACCCTTAATTAAAAAATGGAGATTTAGCTACACATCCTAGAAGAAATTCCACCAGACTCCATGGAATCTGGTTGCAATTGGTTTTCCTTTAAAACTAATGAAAGCAAAACGAATTGAGAAGCCAAACGGCCGTCCTCCCTCCTTGCAAAGCAAAGAGTCCTGACGGTTTTATTTTTTGGCCGAAATCCTAATCAAATGGGAATTTGGCCTTTTCTCTCCTAGTTTCCTAATTCAAGTCTACTACCAAATAAAACTAGTCCCCTAAATAGAAAAATAAACCACAAACGAAAGTATTTCAAGTTTTCTAATTCAACCATAAAACTAATAATTAGAATTCAAGTCTTCCAAATCTTTCTCTAAGGCTGCCTAGAGTTTGAATCGAACTTGGAAACAGGTCCCGCACGTGCCACCATCAAATTAATTGGAAAATTGCCTCTTTTTGTCACGTTTTGTTCTTTTTCCTACAATTAGCACCATTAACCAAATATAAGTAGAATTCATCAATTAACACAATATTTGGTAAAATAAAAGAAAGAAATAACCATAAAATTAATGAAAAAAATGCAACCTATCAATTTTTCCCACACCTAAGTCATGATTGTCCTCAAGCGTGAGAACAACAAATCAAGCAAATCAAATTCAAATAATGGTTATTGTTCAAATCTTCTATTGCCAAGATACATTTAAAACACATGTCAAGCATTAATGGCTAGATCCCAAGAAATATCTCTCTAGTTAGCTTTTAAGATTAAGAACTTTTTCAATTTATGACTATCTAACCTAAGAACATAAAATATTCAACCAGCATTCATCAGCAAACGGTTCAACTATTAAGCAAAATCTCAACATTAAAACTCTTAGATCAGCAGGCTAATGTAACCATATACAATTTCATACATTTTTTTAATTTTTCTTGTTGTTTTTTTTACTCTTAGCACAACCCTCTTTTTTTTTTCTTAAGGAAAATACTTAGTTCTTAGCCATTCAAACCTTTTGATGCGAACTCCGACAATTACCAAATGACGGAACCCGGTTACTCAACCCTTATCAGTTAAAAACCATATACTTATAGTAAGCGCCACTTTTTAACGCAAAAGTCGACACTTTTGGTGAAAACCCCCAGTTACTAGATAACGATAACTAGCGGAGTATAGCCAAACATAATTCACAAGTAAGTACCAAAATAAAATTAAAGACTATACAAGCTTGCGTTATTTTTCAAATATGGAGAACTAAAATTAATAACTGAACCAATTTGAGACATCTAACCATCGTTTATTAGGAATAACCACAAATATGCACAAAGATAGGCAAAAATTGAATAAAATTCAAACAAAAATTTCAACAAAAATGCCTATAATTTCACTTTTTCAATATACTATCATATGCTATCCCCCCTACACCTAAATCTTACATTGTCTCCAATGCAAAAGATAAAGAATAAAAAAATGAAGTAAAAGAGACAACGAAACTTCCCTTAGAATTGAGGGGGTCCGTAGCTACAGGTGACGGGCAAATGATTGTGGAGTTTGACGTATGTTGATGGTTGGTGGCGGTAGAGTTCAGATGGAAAATGATGGAAGAAAGAAGAAAGAAAAAGAAGAGAGAAAGAAAGAAAAAAAAGAAAAGGAAAAAGAAAGGAAAAGGAAGAGAAAAGAAAGGAAAAAAAAATTTTCAGTTTTTTTTACCTTTCCCTAGGACATGACATGGGTACGTCATGATAGTAGAAACCTTTCTGATGATGACTCGTTGAATTGAAAGTTACCACGTGCCCTGTTGATGCAGGCACGTCATGTCAGTCAGTCAGCTCCAAAATCGAAGAAAAAGTTCTCCAAAAGAGTTGACGCGGGCACCTCATGAGGGTAGGAACCCTTCTGATGAAAAATCATTGAATTATACATTGCCATGTGCCTTATTGACTTGGGCACATCATGTCGGGAGGACGTCTCCAAATAAGCGCCTTTCTTTAATGTTTTTTGTTAGACATTGTCATGTTTGTTCAGAGAGGATAAAATCTTGTGGCTCGTTTCAATGCGTCATCCTCTGTATAGTCCTGATACTCCTCATAAATAGAGTAATCGTTGAGCACATGAGTTACGGTTTTCCATGAACTAGTAGATGGTGCCTAACAAGTCAACAATAATTTTAATTCTTCACTTACTCTTCCATCACGCGCACTTACTGGTTCAAAATATTCTCCACTCTTAACTTACTCCTGTCATAAAATTTAAAATTTTCTGGTATAATAAAGTCAATCTCACTAACAAGAATTGAAAAATAAGAGTCAGGAGAATATTGATTAAGGAATGGAGAAGATGTCATCACATTTGGAGATTGTTCACTGGATTCATTCACTTGAACGATTTGATATTGGGCTCTCATTTTTTGCACTTTAATTCCCTTTTTCAACTACATCTTTAGATCATTTTTCTTGAAACTCTTGCAATTCCATATCATTTGTCAGGATAATTGCATTCTCGTCTTTCTTAAGGTCGATGATGGTTTGTGAGGATAATTCTTCACACATTTGAAAAGCCAATTGCGTCACTTTAGATGCCATTAGACACAGTTGATTCTTTATGTCACGAATGTTCATTTCTATCTCCTGTTGAAATCGATATATGTTAGCAACTAGTAATTTTATCATTTTTTCAAGAGACATACCTGACGTGGGTGATGGTTGTTGCTGTTGATATTGATGTTAAAAATCAATTGGTTCTGATGCATAATTAAAGTTGGAATTATTCCACAATTCTTGATCATACCCATATGAATAGGGTCATACCACGTTTGAAATGGGGGTGAAAATTTTCCAAATTTATTGATTGAGGCATTCAGGTAATCTTGAAATTCAATGCACATACCGGTTGAATGATCCGGGTCATAACAAATTTCACAGGTTGCAGTAGCCATTTTTTCTATGAGAAAATTCAATGAATCTGAATGTTGATCATCAGAAAAAGCACAAGCCTCATTACCTTTCGTAGGAATAAAATCCAGTCTATCATCAAAATACGGAATATTAGCAGCCATAAACAAAAAAAAAGAGAGAAAAATAAAAACAAAAACAAGATGAACTCAAAAAGAAACAAACTAATCAGGCACCAGTCTCCCGCAACGGTACCAAAAATTGACAGGAGTCGAGCCTATGCAATAATAATTACTTATTCAAGAAAAATACAAATTTGTATATAGCGGTGAATAAGGTCGAATCCATAGGGATTGGGCATAATTTATTTCTTTTACAGTCCAGAGATGGGGGTTTGTATGAAAATATAAAAATAACTAATTAACCAACTAATGAAATAACTAACGGAAATAAATAAGAATTAATCAATAGCAGATATGACTCTAATCAAAGGTGCAACTTTTCAGACAGGGTCCATTCAACTGATCATCGATGTAATGATAATTCAATTACTCATTAACAGATTGTTTATAATTGCTATACACGAGATAAACAACCAACTTTTTCTAACTTTATCGATAGTCAATGTACGACCATTAATTATTTCCCTAATCAAGAAATAACACTAGGTACAATTGTAGGATTCAATTCCTAAATTGCATTAAGTATTAGAAAAATCCAACTCTAACTAACAAACACGCTATGAGGGTTTGTTTAAATTAGATCATATGTTTCCCTAACATTGGATCAATCACATTAGTCGTCACTGGTATTAACCAATCAAACAATTATGGATTTAATCAGTTGATTTGGCAGTAGATTATTAGGTTAATTTGAATATCGGACCCTTGACATTCAAATAACAAAACAATCATAACAAGTTAAATCAGAAAACGTACGAATACCAATGAATAAAAGAAATAAATAAAAATAATTCGATCTCACAGATGTTCGGAAATGTGACTTCAAGTCAACCCTTAATTAGAAAATGGAGATTTAGCTACGCATCCTAGAAGAAATTCCGCCAGACTCCATGGAATCCGATTGCAATTGGTTTTCCTCTAAAACTAATGAAAGCAAGACGAATTGAGAGGGCAAGCGGGCGTCCTCCCTCCTTGCAAAGCAAAGAGTCCTGACGCTTTTATTTTTGGCCGAAGTCCTAATCAAACTGGAATCTGGCCTTTTCTCTCCTAGTTTCCTAATTCAAGTCTGCTATCAAATTAAACTAGTCTCCTAAATAGAAAAATAAACCACAAAAGAAAGTATTTCAATTTTCCTAATTCAACCATAAAACTAATAATTAGAATTCAATTCTTCCAAATCTTCCTCTAAGGCTGCCCAGACTTTGAATCAAACTTGGAAACAGGTCCTGAACGCGTCAACATCAAATTAATTGAAAAATTGCCCCTTTTTGTCACGTTTTGTTCTTTTTCCTATAATTAGCACCATTAACCAAATATAAGTAGAATCCATCAATTAACGCAATATTTGGTAAAATAAAAGAGGAAAATAACCATAAAATTAATGACAAAAATGCAATCTATCAATTATGGTACTTGCAGCTATTAACTTTGTGTTCACAAATACTACTTCTATGCAGAGAATTTGTCTAATTAGGTAACCATGTTATTTTACAAACACATTGGCAAAAGGTTGCTTGTATAGTTCAAGATTCATAACTAAAGAAATATTTAGCACTTCAAGAAGCAAAGAAATGTAGGGAATAGGAACCATCACACCAAAGTCTTCAAATTTTGTGTTTTTTCCCTTTCAAATTTGGAAAGATTTTAAACACTTTACTTACAAATTAAACCTTATGTTCGTGCAAAAATTTTTATAAACTTTCATGTCGATTCAAATATTATAAATATATGAAGTCCAACTCTTCATAGTAATTTTAATTATCCTAACGTTGATTTGGAAGTTTTGAAAATTTTTTAATGCAAATTAATTTGCTAGCAAAATCTCATAATGAAACGGGTGTTGGGATTTCCAGATTCATTGCAATTCATGGCATCTTCTTTTATAGAAAAGTGTTCGGTTTAGTGGTAAGGTGAAAGGAATTATAAAAAAGGGAATCCTGAATTCAAGGCCTCCCACTTATAAAAAGGAAATTGAAAAGAAAAAGGCATCTTCTCTGAGCCGTGGTGGGAATTTTAGTAGGATCTAAGGACCAGTCAAAACTAAATCCAAGGTTCCAAGATGATCCGAAATGATAATTTTTAACATTTTGAAGTTGAACAGGATGCCAGCAAAAGGCCTCCATCTAATTTTGAAAGGTGCATAATTTTTAACAAAAACGAAAACCCTATAAGTAGTACACATGATTCAAACTTTTCTAGGAAAAAGTTCTTTGTCACCTTCAAATTCAACTTTGTTTGGAAAGCAATTTTTATATTTTTGGTGAATAAATTTTTAATCACTTTTTTTGACCTCTTTTACATCAAATAGTTATAGTATATTTAAGAGAAGTTTTGGTTAGGCATCAAACCAAAAGAGCGCCTTTGAACCATTAAACATTTAGTGCTATTTAAACTCCTTTGTATTTTCAGTTTTAGGTGCTTTTTGACCTTAGGAATTATTTCCTAGATTTTGTATTCTCTCTTTTGTACTCTTTTTCTGTTATAGTAAATTTGCTACCTCTTCGTCCTTGAACGTAGGTCAATTTGGCCGAACCACGTAAAATTCTGTTTCCTTTTTTCTTGATTTATTTATTATGTTATTGTCATTATTGAGTTGCTAAAAATCCTATTATTCTCATTGGTCGATTTCCTGGGACCAAAACTAACAGAAGTTGATGCAAAAACTGAGTTTTCAAAATAATGTTGTTGAGCAATGCTTTGCTAGTTTCTTGGATTGAGTAAATTCAGAGTGAAGATGCATCAGCATTTTCCATCCACTTAACAGGTTTATCAATAAGACTAAATTGGTGGGCATCTAGAACATCAAGGTGCAAATTGTCCAAAAAGAAATTCATTTAGGTTCAGAATAATGCTATAGATTTTTTCATTCGAGTACAGCAGTAACAACAGGTATGTTTTAAATATATATATATATATATATAATAATCAGTTAATAGGACAATAAGTCTCCTTTGTATACATAGTAGCGAGTCAACTTGGCTTTGCTTATTATAGTACTTTTAATTTCTCTGCAGCATTGGGAAATGATAAGCACAAGAATAAAATTAAATTAAACACCTAATGCATCTTAAGTAGTTCGCAGATTCATTGCAATTCAAGGCATGCTTTCTTAACCTTGGTGAATATCATAGTGGGATCCAAGGGCCAATTAGCAATAACTCCCAAAGAGTAAAGATTAATAAAAATTGATCAAGTTTAACATTTGTAAGTTAAACGGGATAACAACAAAATTTCAAAGGCTTTCGTGATTTCCTTTTCCTTCTTTCAGGATAGTACGTACTGGAACAACTTAAATTTCTCAAAATGTCTCATGGGTATTATTAATAGCTAAGCCTTGATTAGAGATTGAAAATGTCTCATGGTTTCTCACTACGTGCATTAGCTTTTAGTCACCTTCCATCACTGTCGTAGTCTTTGAATGCTTAGTTTTATGATCATTATTCCACTACTCGTTTGTCAAATTCTTGGGTTTTTTATAATGTCTTGTTTCCTTTGGTTTATCGTAGATTTAGTGTGCCATGGAAAATTGATGTCATAACAATTTTTTAAAGGCATCAGTTGCAGTATCTGCAAGTAGTACGAAATCTTTCATTCTTTTGAGGAAGTGTCCGTTAATATATAGATAACAAGAATTTTCTTTAGTAACAAATAATATAGTAGCCATTCCTAATATTAGTTAAATTTAGTTTACCATCTAATCAAACGAAATTTGAATAACATTCAAACTCTCGTTCAACTCTCGTGAAAGATTACTCCTTAATTAACTTGAAGTAGAAAAGGAATCTCCTTTTACATTTTATTCTGCAACTGCATATTTAAGATTAAGAAGGTCGATATTTACACGCTAATAAGAGAAAGGAAATGTTTTGATTAATTTTATCATGCAGTACATGAATTCAAGAAAGACTACGAAAAGGATTACAGCCCCGTAACTACTCATGAAGCATAATGAGTGATATAATTCCATTTCTACTTGGCCTCATCTAGCTGAGATTTCTCCAAGCCCCGTGGCCAATACAAGATTATTACCCAACCAGACAACTAAGTAGAAGCCAGGAGAGTTGGGAAAACTACAAATCTCAGAGAGAACGTGCACCTTTAAGACGTCCTTGAATGGAGGGCACTTAAATACTGAAGCTTGATTTTTTTGAGCACAACAAGAACATCTTGTATGTTGCTTCTCTCTCTTGGAGATTCCATCGTGCAGTCCAGAGCCACTTTCATGATTGAGGCTATACAGCTTAGCTTTTCAACAAAGTATTCATCATTTTCCTTCAGCAAATTAGCATCGATTACATGAGCTAATCCATCAAGTACTGAATTAGTCACCCAACTCTTCAAGCTCAAGTTTTCGCCAAACATTTCACTATTAGGTTTTGTTCTTGTGAAGACTTCCATCATCATAATTCCAAAACTGTAGGTATCGCATTTTGTTGATACTAATCCTTCCAATCCATACTCTGCAAGACATATATAAAATTCATCTATGTTCTTAAATTGGTTGTAATTTTTAATATTTGGCATTTTCAACAGCAAACAATTGAGGAAATAATACTTTAGTCGTATTAGAAAATTCTTCACCTGGTGCGAGATAGCCAAGTGTGGCTAGTGTTTCGGTGTGTGTGATGCTGTTATCCTCAGCCAACAACTTTGTAAGGCCAAAATCACTTAGATGGGCAACCATGTCTTGATCCAGCAGAACATTACTCGGTTTCAAATCACAGTGAATTACTGGAGTTGAATACTCACAGTGGAGATATTGCAATGCACATGCAACATCAATCAATATGTCTAATCTCTGCATTAGATCCAGAAAATAGCTGTGCGAATACAACCACTTCTCAAGACTCCCATTAGGCATGAACTCAAGCACTAATGCCTTAAACTCAGGGTTAGAGCAACTGGTGATGACTCCTGTGAGGTTTCTATGGCGAAGATTGCGCAGTACTTCACATTCTACATCAAAACTCCTGAATGCCCCTTCGACTTGTAAATTGAAAACTTTAGCAGCCACGACCCTTCCATCATCAAGAGTACCTCTATAAACAGATCCAAAGCTTCCAGTTCCCAACAAATTGCTTTCGCTGTACCCATTAGTTGCTTTTAGAAGTTCGAAATATGAAATTCTTTCTGGCATTGCAACTAAGGATAAATTTGCTCCACTGGAAAGTCCATATTTCTTTCCATACCTTAGGTAAAAAAATCCAAAGGACAAGACTCCCATTGCTATTATCATCCCCAGAAGAATATAAATCGTTTGACGCACTTTTTTTGTTCTCGATCTGTGAGCTGAAATATTTGGGCATGGAGGCACATGAAACCTTTGAGCTCCACACAGTGCTTGATTTGCAGTGAAGGATTCGGCAGTGAAGTTGATAAAAGGCCCTCTGGAAGGAACTTCACCAATTAAATTATTAAAAGAGACATTGAAATGTGTTAGGACCGGGCCAGGAAATAGACAAACTCAAGTTAGCACAAAATAGGCGGTATAACCGACCATATAATAGATAGGCGGTAGATACCAGCCATATAATAATTAGGCAGTAAAACCGACCATATAAAGACAGATAACAAAGCAAATAAAAGACACAGAAGATTTACGTGGTTCGGTCAAATTGACCTACGTCCACGGGCGAGGGAGGAGCAATATTTCTACTATGAAGAAGAAATACAAAAGCCGTAGGAAAGTGGTTCCTAGGCCAATAGGCACTTACAAAAGAGTTTAGAAAATATTCCTAAACTCAAAACAAGAGAGCCTAAAATATTTAACTGAATGGGCTAGATGACTCAAGAAGCTAATAGCCCATATAACTCTCTTGAATGGTGCGAGTTAAAACCTTCAGAGGCCTCTCCTATTTATAGGAATCAAGAGGGAAGCCTTCCGTTTCTGATCTTCGATGTGGGACGCCAAAATTCTGCCATCCAAAGTCAAGAGCTGCGGCTGCGGCTTGACAAATCAACAAATCTCCACCTTGGCATAATTTTGAGTTCCATCATCAATAATAGTAAAACTGCTCCACCTTCTCCACATAAGCCCCAATGGGCTTAAATCACCAACAATGAACACCAACCAAATCCAAGCACTGCTTGAACTTGTAAACTGGAAGAGGTTTCGTAAACATATCGGTTGGATTGTCCTTAGTATTGATTTTCTGAATAAGGACTTTTCCCTCAGCAACGATATCCCGAATGAAGTGATACTTCACATCAATATGTTTTGTCCTCTCATGATACATCTGATCTTTAGTCAAGTGTATGGCACTTTGACTATCACAGTGAATATCAGTAACACCTTGATATAGACTTAGCTCGCTAAATAAACTCTTCAACCACAAGGCTTCTTTGATTGCCTCGGTCACAGCCATATATTCTGCTTCTGTAGTAGACAAAGCTACGACAGGTTGTAGAGTAGCTTTCCAACTAACAGCACAACCGCCAATGCAAAATACATAGCCTGAAAGTGATCTTCTCCTGTCAAGATCTCCAGCGTAGTCTGAGTCTACAAAACCAACCAAAGTGTTATTATTTCTTCCAAACTCCAAACATGCATTTGAAGTACCTCGCAAGTATCTGAGAATCCACTTCACAGCTTGCCAATGTGCTTTACCAGGGCAAGACATATATCTGCTAACAACACTGACTGCTTGTGCAATATTTGGACGAGTACAAACCATTGCATACATAATACTGCCGACTGCACTAGAATAAGAAACCCGTGCCATATAATCTTCCTCTTCATCTGATTTTGGTGATTGAGCAGTAGATAGCCGAAAATGGCTAGCAAGAGGAGTAGATACTGGTTTAGCATCTTTCATGCCAAAACGCTCCAAAACTTTCTCAAGGTAATTTTTCTGGGTCAAGAATAACTTCCCTACTCCTCGATCTCTTTTGATATCCATGCCAAGAATTTTCTTAGCTGCTCCTAAATCTTTCATTTCAAATTCACTATTTAACTGCAGTTTCAAAGTGTGAATTTCTGACAAATTCTTGGCAGCAATGAGCATGTCATCAACATAAAGCAGCAAATAAATGAAAGAACCATCATTTAACTTCCGGAAGTAAACACAACTATCATACATGCTCCTCAAATAACCATGACCCAACATAAAGGAATCAAACCTTTTATACCATTGTCTTGGAGACTGCTTCAATCCATATAAGGATTTCTTCAATAAGCAAACATGGTCTTCCTTACCTTCAATTTCAAAACCCTGGGGTTGTTTCATATAAATTTGTTCTTCAAGTTCGCCATGTAAGAAAGCTGTCTTAACATCAAGCTGTTCTAACTCCAAATTATACATGGCTACTAAAGCAAGCAAAACACGAATAGAGCTATGTTTAACAACAGGTGAGAATATATCATTAAAATCAACACCTTGTACCTGACTATAGCCCTTTGCAACCAATCGTGCTTTATATCTTGCATCTTCAACCCCTGGAATACCTTCCTTCTTCTTGAAGACCCATTTGCATCCAACAATTTTCTTAGCTGACGGCGGCTTTACAAGAACCCAAGTTTCATTACGATGAAGAGATTCAATTTCTTCATTCATCGCAATCAACCACTTTGCAGAATCATCACAAGAAACTGCTTCTGAATAGGTGGAAGGCTCACCAACTGCATCAGTTTCTTCTGCAACAGACAAAGCATATGCAACTAAATTTGCATATCTTTGTGGTGGTCGAATGTCTCTCCTTGCTCTATCTCTGGCTATGGAATACTCTTCTTCTTCAGAACTATCTTCAACAGTAGATTCAGGTGTATCTACTGGCATTTGAATAGAAGATTTGGTCTGAGAAGGACCAGAACTGCCAATATCAAGCTCCACCTGCTTCTGTGTACTATCAGTAGTACAAGGACTAGAAGACTCCTTCTTGGAAGATAACATAGACAATTCATCAAAAGTAACATCTCTACTGATCACAAATTTTGGAGATTTGGGATCAGGACACCATAATCTGTATCCTTTCACCCCAGAAGCATACCCAAGAAAAATGCACTTTTTAGCCCTAGGCTCCAATTTTCCATCATTCACGTGCATGTATGCTGGACACCCAAAAACTTTTAAATTGGAGTAATCAGCAGGAGTACCTGACCAAACTTCCTCAGGAGTTTTGAAATCAAGAGATGCAGAAGGAGAACGGTTGACAATATAACAGGCCATATTGATCGCCTCTGCCCAAAAGTCGTTTGTCAACCCTGCATTGGAGATCATACATCTTGCTCTCTCCAAAAGAGTTCTGTTCATACGTTCGGCCACACCATTTTGTTGAGGCGTCATCCTGACGGTGTGATGCCGAACAATTCCTTCATTCTTGCAGAATTCATTAAATTCACCTCCACAAAATTCCATGCCATTATCTGTTCTCAACCGCTTAATGTGTTTTCCTGTTTGTTTCTCAATCAAAACTTTCCATTGCTTGAAAGTTAGGAAAACATCATTTTTATGCTTAAGAAAATAGACCCAAACTTTCCTTGAATAATCATCAATGAAAGTCAACATGTACCTGGCACCACCTTTAGAAGGAGCACGAGAAGGACCCCATAGATCTGAATGAATGTAATCAAGAGTACCTTTTGTCTTGTGAATTGCTGGTGAACTGAAGCTGACTCTTTTCTGCTTCCCAAAAATACAATGTTCACAGAATTCCAATGGCCCGGTACTTTGTCCACACAGAAGTCCTCTTTTGCTTAGTATGCCCAAGCCTTTTTCGCTCATGTGCCCCAAACGCATATGCCATAATTTGGTGATGTCTGTATCTGACAAAGATGATGTTGAAACAGCAGCAGCACCTGTAACAGTAGATCCCTGCAAAATATACAAAGTACCAGATCTGTGTGCCTTCATAACAACAAGAGCTCCTCGAGTGATTTTGAGAACTCCGTCTCCACCTGAATACCTGCACCCGATAGACTCAAGAGTGCCCAAAGAGATGAGATTTTTCTTCAAATCTGGAACATGTCTAACATCTGTGAGCGTCCTCACAATACCATCGTACATTTTAATCCGGATTGTGCCTTTGCCAACAACTTTACAAACAGCGTTGTTGCCCATTAAGACAACTCCACCTTCAGCTGATTCATATGTTGAAAACCAGTCCCTATTGGGACACATATGATATGAACAACCCGAATCTAAAATCCACTCATTGTTAGACCTAAAATTATTTTCCGTTGCACAGAAAATGGTTCCATCATTCTCATCAGCTGCTATACTAGCTTCAGCGGATTCAGTATTTTTCTCAACAAATTTCCCTTTTTGCTTTTCTTTATTTTTCAATTTAAAGCAATCAGAGATAACATGGCCCTTCTTTTTACAATAATTGCACACCACATTTTTATGTCTGGATTTGGATCTACTTCTATTTTCTGTGTTTCTCTTTTCAGATCTACCCCGAACAAACAAGCCATCAGCTTGACTCCCACTAGTTTCCCCAGTAATATCCCTATCTATCTGCTCTTTAGATTTTAATGCAGATTTAATTTCCCGATACGAAATTGTTTCCTTTCCATATATCATAGTATCACGGAAATGCTTAAAAGACTGGGGAAGGGAACACAAAAGTAATAGGGCCTGATCTTCATCATCAATTTTCGAATCTATATTCTCCAAATCCATAATAATGGAATCAAATTTATCAAGATGGGAGAGTATAGATGTACCTTCAGACATCCGAAGCATGTACAAACTCTGCTTCAAATATAGCCGATTCTCGACTGTCTTCTTCATATACAAGGCTTTCAATTTATCCCACATAGCCTTGGCCGAAGTCTCCGTTGCTACCTCACGCAATACCTCATCGGAGAGATTCAAAATTATGCTGGATCTAGCCTTCTTATCCATATCAGCGAAATCCGCATCCTTTACATCTTCTGGTTTATTCTCGATTCCATGAATCGCTAGATCAACTCCGTCTTGAACAAGAATGGCCTCCATCTTGAGCTGCCACATGCCGAAGTTGACATTTCTGTCGAATTTCTCGACAACCGTCTTTGTTATCGTCATTGTTGCCACAAAATCTGTAACTTGAAGTTTGTCTCAAAAAACTGGCCAAACAAATATGCAAGTCTCGTGAGCGGGCCCCACAGGGTGAGCGGACCCCACGAGATAGCGGGCCCCACGGATAAACGGACCCCACAGGATGAGTGGGCCCCACAGGATGGACGGACCCCACCAGATGAACGGGCCCCACCAGATGAACCTGTCTTGCAAAATATAACAACCAGCTCTGATACCAGTTTGTTAGGACCGGGCCAGGAAATAGACAAACTCAAGTTAGCACAAATAGGCGGTATAACCGACCATATAATAGATAGGCGGTAGATACCAGCCATATAATAATTAGGCGGTAAAACCGACCATATAAAGACGGATAACAAAGCAAATAAAAGACACAAAGATTTACGTGGTTCGGTCAAATTGACCTACGTCCACGGGCGAGGGAGGAGCAATATTTCTACTATGAAGAAGAAATACAAAAGCCGTAGGAAAGTGGTTCCTAGGCCAATAGGCACTTACAAAAGAGTTTAGAAAATATTCCTAAACTCAAAACAAGAGAGCCTAAAATATTTAACTGAATGGGCTAGATGACTCAAGAAGCTAATAGCCCATATAACTCTCTTGAATGGTGCGAGTTAAAACCTTCAGAGGCCTCTTCTATTTATAGGAATCAAGAGGGAAGCCTTCCGTTTCTGATCTTCGATGTGGGACGCCAAAATTCTGCCATCCAAAGTCAAGAGCTGCGGCTGCGGCTTGACAAATCAACAAAATGTCTAAGATACCGAAGGTTCTCCATTGACATTGGAACCGATCCAGAGAGAAAGTTATGCGATAGATCCAATGACTCCAAGCTTAACATCTTGCCAATCGACTCTGGGATTGATCCTTGCAATCTGTTGTGTGCTAGAGAGAGATTTTGCAGGTTCTGGATCTCTCCAATTGTGTCAGGAATGGCACCCGAGAACTGATTAGTTGACAAATCTACCCAATTTGCCATCTTCATATTCGTAATTGCTTGCGGCAGAGGTCCACTCAACAAATTTGAGGAAAGGTCAAGCTTCAAGAGATCTTTCAGGTTCCATATTTCTACAGGTGGGGAAGAATTTAGTCTATTGTGACTTAGGTTAAGATTCCTCAGGGAAGTAAAATTTCCCATGCACTTTGGTATTGAGCCCATAATTTGATTTTGTCCAAGATCTATTGTAGCCAAGTTATAGAGAGCACAAAGAAACTCTAGGGGCACTTTGTTTAGTTTGTTCACACTATGATCCATTCCTTGAAGCTTTCGTAAATCTTTTATCCTAGCAGGCAACGACCCATTTAGCTCATTGTTGGATAGATCTAACTGGATCAAACTACCAAAGTTTCCAATTCCATCAGGAATGCTGCCCTTGATTTTACAATCTGATGCAGATAACATTTGAAGGGAAGTTGAAAGATTACTGACGGAGTCTGGAATGATCCCATTGAATGGATTGTCACTCAAGACCAATATTGACAAATATTGGCATTTTGTCAATGAAGTGATGAAACTCAACTCTTGAGATGCGGAGTCACTCGTTAAATTGTTGCCGAATAGATTCAGTAGTTCCAGGAGACTTAGGTCCCCCAGGGAAGTAGGAATTGGACCTGTGAACTTGTTAGTACCAAAATCTACTCTACGAAGCTTAGAAGAATTTGAAATTGAGGTAGGTAATACTCCAGAGAAGGAATTAATGCTGAGGTAAAGCTCTTCTAGATTGGGAAGCCTATAACCGAATGTGGATGGAAGATTGCCTGAAAGTTGATTTTGTGTAAGTGACATAATAATCAACTTTGAGAGGTTGAAGATCTCTATTGGTATGGAACCAGTTAAGCTATTGAATTCCATGTTGATGTGTTGGAGAAAGTACCGGTTACCAATCTCTCGTGGTATTACACCTACCAAAATAATATTGAGCATATAAATTAAAAATATAAGTCTCTATATTCTGTAAGTTTTGTAAAATAAATTGTCATACCTGCTAAGTTGTTTGATCTGAAATCTAGTGTTTTCATCATAGTTGAGTTACCAATTTCTTTTGGAATTTCACCTACAAAATATGGATGCAATAAAAATCAACAAGTTGAGATCTTTGATGTATGTTTTAAATTAAACGAGAAAATTGATAGGGCAAAAGCAAAAATTGGCCACAGCCTGGCACCCTCGACATTTTGAAATTGGCTTGTTTCGAAATCAAATTAAAAAGACATCTTAAAGTAAATGCATGTAAAGTTAACTAAATTTTTCAAAATCTTTTTCACTATTCTATAGTATCCTAAGAAAATACGAATATGTTTTGGCCATTAACTTGTCCATCAGGACCATATTATCTGCTGCATGTATTCATGGTTTTCCTAGCTGTAAAGGAGCAGAAAAATCTGAAAATCTTTGGTAACAGTCTATAACTCTAAATTTTTCTTGTATTTTTTGCCTTTTCAATTGGGAATATGGAAAGATAAGAGTAAGGTTTTATTTGAGAATACAATTAAGTACTTAAATTTCATGGGTTCAGGCCTTAACATATCCATAGGTGTGTGTTGTCAAAAAATAGAACATTTTAATTAATTAAGTGCCTCTAAATTCTCTAAATTAAACATATTTAAAAAATAAGCAAGAAGCTATTCACTTACCATTTAATGCAAATGCAAAATTTATTACTTTGTTACATATCTACAGACATTGACATATGAGCAAAAATAAACTATTGAAAATTGTGCTAAAGTTTGTTTTTTCTCAAATAAATTTATTTTCCCAAACACATTTTTTATATTATAATTTTATTTTAATATGTGGTTCATTTTTTGCTATTTTTTAATATCTTATTTTCAATGAAATTAAATTATACATATTATAAATAAAGTATAACATTTTAACATCATCATTAATGAATAAATCAACATAATAACAAAATTATGAAATATATGAAATTCGGTATTAAGTTGTTTACAATTATCTAACAGGCATACTGTATTCAGTATTCAGATTTAGATAATAAGTTGTATCATGATACTTAACATTTAGTAATTTAATGGATTCATATTTCAAATTTTAAATTTCAAATTTCAGATTTATATTTATCAAACACACTCTAAATATTGTGCAAGATATGTGCTATTTTTGTTAGAACAAACCAACTTCTGGATCTAGATCTGCACAAATTCACTACAACATAAAACAATTCATTTAATTTGGCTTTGTCCATGTATGGTAAAAGAATTAACAGGGATCCTACCTTCTAAATGGTTGATACCCAAGTATAGCTCCTCAAGCTTCTTCAGTTCTCCAATTTCTTTTGGTACGGCACCTCCAAATTCATTGAGAGACAAAGACAGCACCTGAAGTTCTGAACACTGGGCTAAAGCACTTGATGGTAATTGACCATTTAACTTGTTCATTGATAGGTCAAGGATACTCAGTCCAGGAAGACGGTAACACATGTCACTTGGAAGAACTCCGGATAGGCCATTATCCATAAGGTGAATGATTTGCAGCGAGGAAATATTGAAAATCCCCGTGGGAATGTTTCCTTGCAGAGGGTTGAACGAAAGATATATAGTCTCTAGCTTTGACAAGTTAGAGATGGAAGATGGGATACGACCAGTGAAACTATTGTTTCCAAGATTCAAGTGACGAAGTTTAGGAAATGAACCAATCCACCAGGGTAACTCTCCTTTGAGATTGTTGATGCCCAAATTAAGTACTTTTAATCGGCGCAAACGAGCAATTTCATGCGACATCTCTCCGTGGAAATTGTTGTTTCTCATGTCAAGCGAAACAAGAAATGATAGGTTCCCCAATTGTGGAGGTAAGGTGCCGGAAAGATTCATGTTTGAAATACTTAAGCCGGTCACTCTGAGATGCCGAAAGCCGCAGGTCACTCCAATCCATTCACACACAGAAGATCTGACAGACCAGTTGTTTGCCAAGATTTGGTGAGGGTCAAATGAGATGTGAGATCTCAAGGCAAGAAGAGATGACTGATCAGTGGTAATATTGGTCGGAAGCATGGCTAAGGAAGCTGAAAGAAAACACAGCAACACAAATCCAAAAGGGGAGAGGTTGTGAAGTTTCTCCATGGCTAATGTTTGCTACCTGATAGGTGAGGAGTCGCATCATATATAGTCTCAGTAATATAGGTTTGGTAATTTTTGACAGTGATGTAATTGTCATGCTGATTAGAATTTCTTTGACTGCTTTTCTGGGGAATTGTACAGTCAAGTTATGACTCAATGTCCATGTCACCATTTGCTTTATGTAAAGAGTAGAATTTAGTTTCATAAAAGCTATAATTCTTCCGAAGGTTTGAGATAAATTTTCTCTGAGTTTTTAATATACGAGCTGTATTACATAAGCTTAGTAAATATTTTACTTCTGCATTCATATAATATTGATTTCTCATGTCAAAGTCTAATAGTAAAGTTAGACCTTCTATTTTATGATTGATGTAATTTGAGGACCCTTGAGTTGCCACAGCCCGAAAGAGAGGGAAGTGATCCATGGCTAATCTAAGGGGCTTCAAATGTACGAAGGAGAAAGCAAAAATAGGAAATTCATTATTTAATCCCTTAAATTTTTATTTATTCTTTTACACCACCTTTGCATTAATTCCAAACCTTGTTATCATCTCAAAATTCTAACTTAAATAGGGTTTTGATATTGATTTAGCATATTGATCAAATCTGTAGCTTAATAAATTCTAAAACCAATTTTGTATGTGTGTGTGTCTATATATATATATATATATATATATATATATGGTTTGTGTACGATTAACATTTTTATTCAAGTAATATTTTACATAGACGAACAAGCATGGATTTTCATTGAAACGTCTAAAACAATTCTTTTCTGTTCTCAAATAAACAAAGTTTAATAACTAGATATTAAATTGTAAAATTAAACTCAAACCCAAAGCCTATTTCAAGACAAAACTGCACAGTTTGATGATGCGCGTTCTTGGGAATAATGCAACTTAATTATTTGACCACATAATACGTTATAAGTCTTGGTCATTATACAAGAGACAAAATTGATTGCCCCTCAACTGTTCTGAACAATGACTTTGTACTAATCAACCACTTTAGACAGAAAATCAACTCAATTGTGCAGGAAACGGTAGAAAATTAAGGATGGCTCAACCCCACGTTTGCAAGAATAATGCTGGAGAGGTTCAGAAATTAAGAAACAAGAAAATAAGCACTATCAATACTATCGAGCAATCGACATGACTCGTTAATTTGCAATCAAAAGATGAGAGATGTATGTGGAAATTAAACAAATAGAACAGTTCAAATTATGACTTAGTGAATTTACTTAAGTAAAATCTTCCACTAGTTTGGACTAATCTTCAATTTCCTAGTATTTTACTGTTTGTTTTTTCTTTCTGGGGCAATAAAGATTGTCTCTATATACCTCCAAAAAAAAGCACACTCATTTCAATTTATGCTTCTCAAATATAGGCAAAAATATGTTTAGGAAAACATTCATTTACACTCTTCTCACCTCCAACTATCAGGCATGAGATTTAAATTCTGAATTTGACAGCAGGGAAAACTCAGGGATCCTCTCGTTTTTTGTTGAAAAAACTAAAGGCAAAAGATAGCTACTAATTTTAGATAAATGATGTTAAAGTAACCTCTCTTCTTTTTTTTTTGGCTTGGTACAGTTTTTCATGTTATGTTGTTGTCTTACGGTACTTGCAGCTATTAACTTGGTGTTCACAGATACTACTTCTATGCAGAGAATTTGTCTAATTAGGTAACCATGTTATTTTACAAACACATTCGCAAAAGGTTGCTTGTATAGTTCAAGATTCATAACTAAAGAAATAGTTAGCACTTCGAGAAGCAAAGAAAGGTAGGGAATAGGAACCACCACACCAAAGTCTTCAAATTTTGTGTTTTTTCCCTTTCAAATTTGGAAAGATTTTAAACACTTTACTTACAAATTAAACCTTATGTTCGTGCAAAAAATTTTATAAACTTTCATGTTGATTCAAATATTATAAATATATGAAGTCCAACTCTTCAAAATAATTTTAATTATCCTAACGTTGATTTGGAAGTTTTGAAAATTTTTTAATGCAAATTAATTTGCTAGCAAAATCTCATAATGAAACGGGTGTTGGGATTTCCAGATTCATTGCAATTCATGGCATCTTCTTTTATAGAAAAGTGTTGGGTTTAGTGGTAAGGTGAAAGGAATTATAAAAAAGGGAATCCTGAATTCAAGGCCTCCCACTTATAAAAAGGAAATTGAAAAGAACAAGGCATCTTCTCTGAGCCGTGGTGGGAATTTTAGTAGGATCTAAGGACCAGTCAAAACTAAATCCAAGGTTCCAAGATGATCCGAAATGATAATTTTTAACATTTTGAAGTTGAACAGGATGCCAGCAAAAGGCCTCCATCTAATTTTGAAAGGTGCATAATTTTTAACAAAAACGAAAAACCTATAAGTAGTACACATGATTCAAACTTTTCTAGGAAAAAGTTCTTTGTCACCTTCAAATTCAGCTTTGTTTGGAAAGCAATTTTTATATTATTGGTGAATACATTCTTAATCACTTTTTTTTTACCTCTTTTACATCAAATAGTTATAGTATATTTAAGAGGAGTTTTGGTTAGACATCAGACCAAAAGAGCAAGTCATGGGCTTTTGAACCATTAAACATTTAGTGCTATTTAAACTCCTCTGTATTTTCAGTTTTAGGTGCTTTTTGACCTTAGGAATTATTTCCTAGATTTTGTATTCTCTTTTTTGTACTCTTTTTTTGTTATAGTAAATCTGCTACCTCTTCGTCCTTGAACGTAGGTCAATTTGGCCGAACCACGTAAAATTCTATTTTCTCTTTTCTTGATTTATTTATTATGTTATTGTCATAATTGAGTTGCTAAAAATCCTATTATTCTCATTGGTCGATTTCCTGGGACCAAAACTAACAGAAGTTGATGCAAAAACTGAGTTTTCAAAATAATGTTTGTTGAGCAATGCTTTGCTAGTTTCTTGGATTGAGTAAATTCAGAGTGAAGATGCATCAGCATTTTCCATCCACTTAACAGGTTTATCAATAAGACTAAATTGGTGGGCATCTAGAACATCAAGGTGCAAATTGTCCAAAAAGAAATTCATTTAGGTTCAGAATAATGCTATAGATTTTTTCATTCGAGTACAGCAGTAACAACAGGTATGTTTTTAAAAAAAAAAAAAAAATATATATATATATAATAATCAGTTAACAGGACAGTAAGTCTCCTTTGTATACATAGTAGCGAGTCAACTTGGCTTTGCTTATTATAGTACCTTTAATTTCTCTGCAGCATTGGGAAATGATAAGCACAAGAATAAAATTAAATTAAACACCTAATGCATCTTAAGTAGTTCGCAGATTCATTGCAATTCAAGGCATGCTTTCTTAACCTTGGTGAATATCATAGTGGGATCCAAGGGCCAATTAGGAAAAACTCCCAGAGAGTAAAGATTAATAAAAATTGATCAAGTTTAACATTTGGAAGTTAAACGGGATAGCAACAAAATTTCAAAGGCTTTCGTGATTTCTTTTTCCTTCTTTCAGGATAGTATGTACCGGAACAGCTTGAATTTTTCAAAATGTCTCATGGGTATTATTAATAGCTAAGCCTTGATTAGAGATTGAAAATGTCTCATGGTTTCTCACTACGTGCATTAGCTTTTAGTCACCTTCCATCACTGTCGTAGTCTTTGAATGCTTAGTTTTATGATCATAATTCCACTACTCGTTTGTCAAATTCTTGGGTTTTTTTATAATGTCTTGTTTCCTTTGGTTTATCGTAGATTTAGTGTGCCATGGAAAATTGATGTCATAACAATTTTTTAAAGGCATCAGTTGCAGTATCTGCAAGTAGTACGAAATCTTTCATTCTTTTGAGGAAGTGTCCGTTAATATATAGATAACAAGAATTTTCTTTAGTAACAAATAATATAGTAGCCATTCCTAATATTAGTTAAATTTAGTTTACCATCTAATCAAAGTAAATTTGAATAACATTCAAACTCTCGTTCAACTCTCGTAAAAGATTACTCCTTAATTAACTTGAAATAGAAAAGGAATCTCCTTTTACATTTTATTCTGCAACTGCATATTTAAGATTAAGAAGGTCGATATTTACGCGCTAATAAGAGAAAGGAAATGTTTTGATTAATTTTATCATGCAGTACATGAATTCAAGAAAGACTACGAAAAGGATTACTGCCCCGTAACCACTCATGAAGCATAATGAGTGATTAAATTCCATTTCTACTTGGCCTCATCTAGCTGAGATTTCTCCAAGCCCCGTGGCCAATACAATATTATTACCCAACCAGACAACTATGTAGAAGCCAGGAGAGTTGGGAAAACTACAAATCTCAGAGAGAACGTGCACCTTTAAGACGTCCTTGAATGGAGGGCACTTAAATACTGAAGCTTGATTTTTTTGAGCACAACAAGAACATCTTGTATGTTGCTTCTCTCTCTTGGAGATTCCATCGTGCAGTCCAGAGCCACTTTCATGATTGAGGCTATACAGCTTAGCTTTTCAACAAAGTATTCATCATTTTCCTTCAGCAAATTAGCATCGATTACATGAGCTAATCCATCAAGTACTCAATTAGTCACCCAACTCTTCAAGCTCAAGTTTTCGCCAAACATTTCACTATTAGGTTTTGTTCTTGTGAAGACTTCCATCATCATAATTCCAAAACTGTAGGTATCGCATTTTGTTGATACTAATCCTTCCAATCCATACTCTGCAAGACATATATAAAATTCATCTATGTTCTTAAATTGGTTGTAATTTTTAATATTTGGCATTTTCAACAGCAAACAATTGAGGAAATAATACTTTAGTCGTATTAGAAAATTCTTCACCTGGTGCGAGATAGCCAAGTGTGGCTAGTGTTTCGGTGTGTGTGATGCTGTTATCCTCAGCCAACAACTTTGTAAGGCCAAAATCACTTAGATGGGCAACCATGTCTTGATCCAGCAGAACATTACTCGGTTTCAAATCACAGTGAATTACTGGAGTTGAATACTCACAGTGGAGATATTGCAATGCACATGCAACATCAATCAATATGTCTAATCTCTGCATTAGATCCAGAAAATAGCTGTGCGAATACAACCACTTCTCAAGACTCCCATTAGGCATGAACTCAAGCACTAATGCCTTAAACTCAGGGTTAGAGCAACTGGTGATGACTCCTGTGAGGTTTCTATGGCGAAGATTGCGCAGTACTTCACATTCTACATCAAAACTCCTGAATGCCCCTTCGACTTGTAAATTGAAAACTTTAGCAGCCACGACCCTTCCATCATCAAGAGTACCTCTATAAACAGATCCAAAGCTTCCAGTTCCCAACAAATTGCTTTCGCTGTACCCATTAGTTGCTTTTAGAAGTTCGAAATATGAAATTCTTTCTGGCATTACAACTAAGGATAAATTTGCTCCACTGGAAAGTCCATCTTTCTTTCCATACCTTAGGTAAAAAAATCCAAAGGACAAGACTCCCATTGCTATTATCATCCCCAGAAGAATATAAATCGTTTGACGCACTTTTTTTGTTCTCGATCTGTGAGCTGAAATATGTGGGCATGGAGGCACATGAAACCTTTGAGCTCCACACAGTGCTTGATTTGCAATGAAGGATTCGGCAGTGAAGTTGATAAAAGGCCCTCTGGAAGGAACTTCACCAATTAAATTGTTAAAAGAGACATTGAAATGTCTAAGATACCGAAGGTTCTCCATTGACATTGGAACCGATCCAAAGAGAAAGTTATGCGATAGATCCAATGACTCCAAGCTTACCATCTTGCCGATCGACTCTGGGATTGATCCTTGCAATCTGTTGTGTGCTAGAGAGAGATTTTGCAGGTTTTGGATCTCTCCAATTGTATCAGGAATGGCACCCGAGAACTGATTGGTTGACAAATCAATTTGCCATCTTCATATTCGTAATTGCTTGTGGCAGAGATCCACTCAACAAATTTGAGGAGAGGTCAAGCTCCAAGAGATCTTTCAGGTTCCATATTTCTACAGGTGGGGAAGAATTTAGTCTATTGTGACTTAGGTTAAGATTCCTCAGGGAAGTAAAATTTCCCATGCACTTTGGTATTGAGCCCATAATTTGATTTTGTCCAAGATCTATTGTAGCCAAGTCATAGAGAGCACAAAGAAACTCTAGGGGCACTTTGCTTAATTTGTTCACACTAAGATCCATTCCTTGAAGCTTTCGTAAATCTTTTATCCTAGCTGGCAACGACCCATTTAGCTCATTGTTGGATAGATCTAACTGGATCAAACTACTAAAATTTCCAATTCCATCAGGAATGATGCCCTTGATTTTACAATCTGATGCAGACAACAATTGAAGGGAAGTTGAAAGATTACTGACCGACTCCGGAATGAACCCATTGAATGGATTGCCACTCAAGACCAATATTGACAAATATTGGCATTTTGTCAATGAAGTGATGAAGCTCAACTCTTGAGATGCGGAGTCGCTCGTTAAATTGTTGCTGAATAGATTCAGTAGTTCCAGGAGACTTAGGTCACCCAGGGAAGTAGGAATTGGACCTGTGAACTTGTTAGTACCAAAATCTACTCTATGAAGTTTAGAAGAATTTGAGATTGAGGTAGGTAATACTCCAGAGAAGGAATTAATGCCGAGGTAAAGCTCTTCTAGATTGGGAAGCCTATAACCGAATGTGGATGGCAGATTGCCTGAAAGTTGATTTTGTGTAAGTGACATAATAATCAACTTTGAGAGGTTGAAGATCTCTATTGGTATGGAACCAGTTAAGCTATTGAATTCCATGTTGATGTGTTGGAGAAAGTAGCAGTTACCAACCTCTCGTGGTATTATACCTGCCAAAATAAAATTGAGCATATAAATTAAAATATATAAGTCTCTATATTCTGTAAGTTTTGTAAAATAAATGGTCATACCTGCTAAGTTGTTTGATCTGAAATCTAGTGTTTTCATCATAGTTGAGTTACCAATTTCTTTTGGAATTTCACCTACAAAATGTGGATGCAATAAAAATCAACAAGTTGAGATCATTGATGGACGTTTTGAATTAACCGAGAAAATTGATAGGCCAAAAGCAAAAAATTGGCCACAGTCTGGCACCCTCGACATTTTGAAATTGACTTGTTTCGAAATCAAATTAAAAAGACATCTTAAAGTAAATGCATGTAAAGTTAACTAAATTTTTCAAAATCTTTTTCACTATTCTATAGTATCCTAAGAAAATACGAATATATTTTGACCATTAACTTGTCCATCAGGACCATATTATCTGCTCCATGTATTCATGGTTTTCCTAGCTGTAAAGGAGCAGAAAAATCTGAAAATCTTTGGTAACAGTCTATAACTCTAAATTTTTCTTGTATTTTTTGCCTTTTCAATTGGGAATATGGAAAGATAAGAGTAAGGTTTTATTTGAGAATACAATTAAGTACTTAAATTTCATGGGTTCAGGCCTTAACATATCCATAGGTGTGTGTTGTCAAAAAATAGAACATTTTAATTAATTAAGTGCCTCTAAATTCTCTAAATTAAACATATTTAAAAAATAAGCAAGAAGCTATTCACTTACCATTTAATGCAAATGCAAAATTTATTACTTTGTTACATATCTACAGACATTGACATATGAGCAAAAATAAACTATTGAAAATTGTGCTAAAGTTTGTTTTTTCTCAAATAAATTTATTTTCCCAAACACATTTTTTATATTATAATTTTATTTTAATATGTGGTTCATTTTTTGCTATTTTTTAATATCTTATTTTCAATGAAATTAAATTATACATATTATAAATAAAGTATAACATTTTAACATCATCATTAATGAATAAATCAACATAATAACAAAATTATGAAATATATGAAATTCGGTATTAAGTTGTTTACAATTATCTAACAGGCATACTGTATTCAGTATTCAGATTTAGATAATAAGTTGTATCATGATACTTAACATTTAGTAATTTAATGGATTCATATTTCAAATTTTAAATTTCAAATTTCAGATTTATATTTATCAAACACGCTCTAAATATTGTGCAAGATATGTGCTATTTTTGTTAGAACAAACCAACTTCTGGATCTAGATCTGCACAAATTCACTACAACATAAAACAATTCATTTAATTTGGCTTTGTCCATGTATGGTAAAAGAATTAACAGGGATCCTACCTTCTAAATGGTTGATACCCAAGTATAGCTCCTCAAGCTTCTTCAGTTCTCCAATTTCTTTTGGTACGGCACCTCCAAATTCATTGAGAGACAAAGACAGCACCTAACTGCCTCACGGGGAAAATATCCTCCGAAGTGAGAGTTTCTCTCTCTAGATTAGAGCGCGAGTCTCTCAGTCTTGAGAGTTTCAAACTTTTTTCAAAATCCTTCAAAACTTCCGCAAACACACACACATACAATCCCAAGATCTAGACAATCCCCACAAATTAGTGCTGAGAGTAAGTCAAGATGAGCGATCTTTTAGAGTGCGACAGCAAAGTAGTGGTTCGTGAGATATGCTTGTCCCCCAGCTGGAGGAAAACTCATGACTCAGGGTTGGCTTCTTTGTCGGATTTCTGCATGCAGCAGTGATCTTAGTTTGTCTGGTCCGAGAAAACAGACTCCATGGAAGACGTAAGTGCGCTGGCAGGTAACTTCATAGCCATTAATACCAAAGTCCTCATTTGTGGATTTCATTTCTGTTAAAGTTCTGGGTTGTGCCCCTGTCAACCTCGTTGCTTTGCTCTTTCTTTATAAAAAGGACAAATCTTTTTTTAAAAAAATATATTTACAGGGGGACATAAGTGTTTTGCTTCTTTTATATTTGGGTGTTTTCAAAAAACAGGGAGGTAGTTTTTTCTTTCTTCTGTGTTGTGTGTCTCGCCTGTCTGGTTTGGTCTCTTTGGCTTTTGGCCTTGGTTGACTTGTCCTGTTCTCAGTAGTAATAGTAGCAGTTACTCTTAGAATCTGCTTAGACCTTATGGCGGAAGAACTGGCAGATGCGATCAGCAAGTTTGCTCTCTCAGAGAAAGAGCTGGAAGGTACTGACTTAGGTTGCGAAGAGATAGATAGAGGTATTCTTGAATGCCAGTTAAGTCTAGTGGGGAGAATCAGAGGTGAGAAAGTGGTTAACTTTGTAGGAGTAAAGAACTTCGTGAACTCTGCTTGGGGGTACCCAAGGAACCTGAGGATCATAGAACTGGGCCCAAATTTGTTTCAGTTTTATATTCCAAGCAAGGAGGACAGAGAGAGGATTGTAGGAGGAGGACCTTGGGTCATGGACAACCAAATTCTGGTTATGAAGCACTGGTTTGAAGGTATAGAGGATGATACAGAGGCCTTTAATCTAGCCCCTATGTGGGTGCAAGTCTGGAATCTTCCTGTGCATTGGATAACAAAAGAAACGGGTAGGAAAATTGGGGCAGTGTTCCATGAAGTAAGGGATGTTCTAGTGCCTCAAGTAGGAGGAAAGGAAGGACGACATTTAAAGCTGTTGGTGCTGATAGACACCTCACTACCTTTACTCAGGGGAACAACTGTTAAAGTAAATGGAGTGTTGAAGTGGTTGAACTTCAGATACGAGCGTTGTCCAGATTTCTGCTACAAATGTGGGGTAGTTGGACATGGAGAAAGGTCATGCAAGACAATTATACAGATCAGCAAAGGTAAGCAGGAACATCAGTATGGCCCGTGGTTGAGAGCTAATACAGGAAAAGCATCACCCCAAAAGGAACAGCAAAGCAAGTTCAACTCGGAGAAGAACCATTGGGGATTTAAAGATGGAGAGATGGTACTGTTAAATCCTAAGGCTAAGGAGAATCTGGAACATAGACATAAGGAATTCTCGTCAGGAAGAAAGGAAGATCCTAGGAAGGGGAATGATGAGAAACAGACAGATAAGGGAAGGGCCAAAGAGGCAGATAGTAATGTGGGGCAGAAGACAAGAGATGAGGTGAGTTGCAAGGATATGAGTATGCGAGGTTCAGCTTCAAGCACCAACTATAGCCAAAAGGTAAGCTGTACCAGGGAGAATACAGATCCCCTCCTTGGAGGAAAAAGTAATTGTGCTTTAGAAGTAGGCTTGGTGAGTGTATCTGAAGGGAAGGAGGAAAGTGGATCGTTCAAGGGTGAAGGGGAAAGAACTGGACTTGAGCAAATAGCACAGGAGCTTATGCTAGTAATAGTAGTAGAGGAAGGAACTGTTAGTCCGGAGTCAGCATTAATGCAAATTGATACAGAAAGCTCTGACTTGGGAACAAAGGCAATTCAGAAACATAACAGGAAGATGAAGAGACAATTGAGATCTCCTAAAATTTCTAGACAGCCTTTGAGAGAACTGAGCAGGAATAGGAATCTGTCTCCTCAACAAGGCAAAAGGAAACTTAATTTGGTGGACGAGGATATGGTGGAAGTGCAGGTGAATGAGATTGTCCCTAAGAGGAACAAACTGGATCCTAGGGAAAGGAATCTGAGCGAAATTTCTAAGGGGGAAGGGGCCAACCTTAACTGGCCCCTCAAGTTACAATGAAGGTCCTGGTGTGGAACTGTCAAGGAGCAGGGAGCCCCTTGACAGTTCCCCAGTTGAGGGAGGCTAAGAACCTCCTCTCCCCAAACATGGTCTTTCTGAGTGAGACCAAGAACAGGTTCAGATTTATGAAAAAGGTCCAAGATATGCTGAGGTTTGATGAAAGTGTAATCGTGGAAGCTATGGATAGGAAAGAAGGCATGGCCTTATTTTGGAATCATGATATTCAGGTTAGGAAGGTGATAACAACTGCTCTGACTATAGAGGCTCTAGTTATAGACCCGGACACCTAGGTTGAGTGGTGGTTTATTGGTGTTTACATGAGTTGTGATGCTAATTTCAGGAAAGAACAATGGAAAGTTTTGACTCTGAGACAACAATTGTGGGGGGATAAATGGCTTCTAGCAGGGGATTTCAATGATATACTCTCTAATGAGGAGAAGTGGGGTGGCAGAGTAAGAGAAGTGAGTAGCTTCAAGGATTTTAATAGTTTTGTAGAAAGCAACAGACTGGTAGACATTGGTTTTACTGGTAACCCCTGGACATGGAGCAATAATTGGGAAGATGAGGGAGAGATAAGGCAAAGGCTGGATAGAGGCTTGAGCACTTTAGAATGGGGCCAAATTTTTGCCAAGGCTAAATGTGAACATGTGGATACTCTTGGATCAGATCATAGCATGCTGCTCATAGACAATTGGCCAAGATTAGAGAAAAGAAAATCAAGGTTTTTCTTTGATAAAAGATGGCTCAAAAGGTCAGAGGTTAATCAGATTGTTGAGCAAGCTTGGAACCAAACAGTAGAAGGAAATAGGATGTACAGGATTACAAGACAGGTTGCTAACTGTAGAGTGGCTCTTCTCAAATGGAAAAACAATTTCACTGGGAATTCTCTGCTAAAAATCAACCATATGAAGCAACAGATTAAGGAGGCTAAGGAATCGAAGGATGCAGGCTCCAAGGATAAAATGGCAGATTTGAAGAATCAGTTGAAAGAGGCATATTCAGAAGAGGAGCAGTATTGGGCTCAGAAAGCAAGAATTGACTGGTTGAGAGAAGGGGACAAGAATACCAAATTTTTCCATGAATGTGTGAAGGGGAGGAGAAGGAAAAATAGAATGCTCAACATTCAAAGGGAGGATGGAACTTGGACAAAAAATGAGGAGGAGCTGGGAAAGGAAGTAGCTGAATACTATAGAGACCTTTTCTCTAGTTCAGGGAGTGAGGGTGTTGATGAGATTCTAAGTGGTATACCTCTATCTATTACTACTGAGATGAATGACAAGCTAACTAAAGAGGTGAGTGATATAGAAATCAAATCTGCTCTTTTCTCCATGAATCCAAATAAGGCTCCAGGTCAAGATGGTATGACTCCCTTGTTCTTCCAAAAATTTTGGCATGTTGTTAAACCAGATTTAATTGCTGCCATAAGGCATTTCTTCCATACTAGCAACATGCCTAAGTCTTGGAATCATACTGTCATCTCCCTTATCCCCAAAATTCAAAATCCCATTAACTTGAAGAGCTATAGGCCTATTAGTCTCTGTAATGTAGTGTACAAAGTGATTTCAAAAATTTTGGCCAATAGACTCAAGAATGTTTTAAGCCACTGCATTAGCAAAAACCAAGCAGCCTTTATTCCAGGCAGGCAAATTCTTGATAATGTCATTTTGTCCCATGAGTATTTGCATTACATGAAAAATAAGAAACAAGGGCAAAATGGTTTTATGGCTGTGAAGCTGGACATGTCCAAGGCCTACGACAGAGTGGAGTGGAAATTTCTGGATTCCATGATGGACAAGATGGGCTACTGCACAGTCTGGAGGAAATGGATTTGGAGCTGTCTCTCATCAGTTACATACTCCTTCAACATAAATGGGGCTCCAAAGGAGTTTGTAATACCAGAAAGGGGAATAAGACAAGGTGATCCACTGTCACCTTATCTTTTCCTCCTATGTTCAGAAGGGTTCTCCAACTTACTGAAGCAGGCTGAAGTTGGAAAAAGGATTTCAGGGATGAAGATTAGCAGAAATGGTCCAAGCTTGACCCACTTATTTTTTGCTGACGACTCACTGGTGTTCTGTAAAGCTGACAGAGAGGAAGCAAATGAGCTCTGTCAAATTCTTAGGAAGTATGAGAAGGGATCAGGCCAAGTTATAAATCTGGAAAAATCCTCTGTTTTTTTCAGTAGCAATGTGAGCCATCAGAATAAAGGGGAAATAAGAAGAAGTCTAGACAAAATTCAGATGGCTACTCAAGGGAAATATCTGGGACTACCTATGGTGATTACAAGATCCAAACGCAATGTGAGCCATCAGAATAAAGGGGAAATAAGAAGAAGTCTAGACAAAATTCAGATGGCTACTCAAGGGAAATATCTGGGACTACCTATGGTGATTACAAGATCCAAACAGCAAGTTTTTGGTTACATAAAGGATAGTGTTAGCAGAAGGATGAATAGCTGGAAGAACAAGTTGCTTAGCCAAGGGGGGAAGGAAGTATTATTGAAGTCAGTCTCCATGGCAATGCCAGTTTACACAATGTCCTGTTTTAAACTCCCTAACAAACTGTGTAAAGATGTGACATCCATCTTTGCTAATTACTGGTGGCGAGAATCTGAAGGAAAAAATAAGATGCACTGGTGTTCATGGGGGAGATTGGCTAGAGACAAAAAAAAGGGTGGCTTGGGGTTCAGGGAGCTGCAGAATTTCAACAAAGCCTTGCTGGCTAAACAGGTTTGGAGGGTAATTTCCAAACCAAACCTCTTAGTCAGTAAGGTTTTGAGGGCCAAGTATTTTCATAAGGAATCGATCTTTAAGTGTAAAATTCCTAAGTGTGCTTCTTGGATCTGGCAAAGCCTGATGAATGTGAGGGATTTTGTGAGAATAGGAACCAGAAGGAAGATAGGTAATGGCAAAGCAACAAATATATGGGAGGATAATTGGATCCCTGGAAATAAGGATGGGAAAGTCACCACTGAGATGACTCAGAGCTGCAATATCAGAAGGGTAGAAGAGCTGATCAGTGGCTTTAGATGGAAGAAACCATTAGTGAGTCGGATATTCAACAGGAAGGATGCGAAAGAAATTCTTAATATTCCTGTAAGTATTGCAGGAAGGGAGGACAGCAATTTTTGGTTACATAGTGGCAGTGGTACCTACACGGTCAATTCAGGATATAAAGCTCTATGTCAGGAAACATCCCAACACAAGGGAAGAAGAGATGATGAGGCAGGAACAAGCTCAGCAAACTCCAATGAAAAGCAATGGAAGTGGCTGTGGAAGCTAAAGATCAAAAGCAAGATAAAACATTTCTTTTGGAGAAGCCTAAATGGCCTTCTACCAGTTAATGACCTGGTGTTTAACAGAACACACCAGGGGGATCCTATTTGTGATGGCTGTGGTGAACAGAAAGAGTCAATTGAACATTTGTTCTTTCAATGTAGCAGAGCCCAAGAAGTGTGGAAAATGGCCCCAATTCAATGGGATGGTTTAACGGAACAGACAAAGAACATATTAGTGTGGTGGAATGCTATGCTGGAAGCAACAAACAGGCTGGAAGGAAGGGAACACATAGAGCTAACTGTGAATATCCTTTGGCAAATCTGGAAAAGGAGGAATGAATGGAAGTTCAATGCCAAACGAAGGCATCCTTGGGAAACAATTAAAAAGGCCCTACAGGAATGGCAAGAGCATGCATCAGGATGGAGGGAGGAGAAATCGACACCTGTGGAAGCCGAAAGAGTTAGAGAGACTGCAGAAACAGGTGAGGGTGGAAGGGATGAAATGCAGATCAGATTATCAACTCAGGTGCAAGATCAAACCAATAGAGTTGGGACTGGGATTATAGCAACTAACTTCAACAATCAGGTGGTGTCTGCTTGGGCACTGACTGATAGGTACGCAGGCAGCCAGTTGCAGACAAGTGCGGAAGCTGTGAAGATGGCCATCATAAAGGCTAGACAGCTGCAATGGCAGAAAATTACAGTCCACCTCCTCAGCCCCCAACTGTTGAAAATGATTACAACTGGGCTGACCAAGGATATCAAAATGGCAACTTTGACTGATGATATTAATAGTCTCAGAGCTTTATTCCAGAAATGCTCCTTTTGTTTAGATAGAAATCTAGATCCTAGATGTGAATGGATTAGTGATTATGCTTTAGGCATATCTCAAGATGAGGAATGGATCAATCCTCAGTGTGTCTAACACATTTGTATAGAACTAGTTGAGCCTTTGCTCATATAAGTGTATATTTTGCCAATCAATACATAATCTACCGTTGCAGAAAAAAAAAGACAAAGACAGCACCTGAAGTTCTGAACACTGGGCTAAAGCACTTGATGGTAATTGACCATTTAACTTGTTCATTGATAGGTCAAGGATACTCAGTCCAGGAAGACGGTAACACATGTCACTTGGAAGAACTCCGGATAGGCCATTATCCATAAGGTGAATGATTTGCAGCGAGGAAATATTGAAAATCCCCGTGGGAATGTTTCCTTGCAGAGGGTTGAACGAAAGATATATAGTCTCTAGCTTTGACAAGTTAGAGATGGAAGATGGGATACGACCAGTGAAGCTATTGTTTCCAAGATTCAAGTGACGAAGTTTAGGAAATGAACCAATCCACCAGGGTAACTCTCCTTTGAGATTGTTGATGCCCAAATTAAGTACTTTTAATCGGCGCAAACGAGCAATTGCATGCGGCATCTCTCCGTGGAAATTGTTGTTTCTCATGTCAAGCGAAACAAGAAATGATAGGTTCCCCAATTGTGGAGGTAAGGTGCCGGAAAGATTCATGTTTGAAATACTTAAGCCGGTCACTCTGAGATGCCGAAAGCCGCAGGTCACTCCAATCCATTCACACAGAAGATCTGACAGACCAGTTGTTTGCCAAGATTTGGTGAGGGTCAAATGAGATGTGAGATCTCAAGGCAAGAAGAGATGACTGATCAGTGGTAATATTGGTCGGAAGCATGGCTAAGGAAGCTGAAAGAAAACACAGCAACACAAATCCAAAAGGGGAGAGGTTGTGAAGTTTCTCCATGGCTAATGTTTGCTACCTGATAGGTGAGGAGTCGCATCATATATAGTCTCAGTAATATAGGTTTGGTAATTTTTTGACAGTGATGTAATTGTCATGCTGATTAGAATTTCTTTGACTGCTTTTCTGGGAAATTGTACAGTCAAGTTATGACTCAATGTCCATGTCACCATTTGCTTTATGTAAAGAGTAGAATTTAGTTTCATAAAAGCTATAATTCTTCCGAAGGTTTGAGATAAATTTTCTCTGAGTTTTTAATATACGAGCTGTATTACATAAGCTTAGTAAATATTTTACTTCTGCATTCATATAATATTGATTTCTCATGTCAAAGTCTAAAAGTAAAGTTAGACCTTCTATTTTATGATTGATGTAATTTGAGGACCCTTGAGTTGCCACAGCCCGAAAGAGAGGGAAGTGATCCATGGCTAATCTAAGGGGCTTCAAATGTACGAAGGAGAAAGCAAAAATAGGAAATTCATTATTTAATCCCTTAAATTTTTATTTATTCTTTTACACCACCTTTGCATTAATTCCAAACCTTGTTATCATCTCAAAATTCTAACTTAAATAGGGTTTTGATATTGATTTAGCATATTGATCAAATCTGTAGCTTAATAAATTCTAAAACCAATTTTGTATGTGTGTGTGTCTATATATATATATATATATATGGTTTGTGTACGATTAACATTTTTATTCAAGTAATATTTTACATAGACGAACAAGCATGGATTTTCATTGAAACGTCTAAAACAATTCTTTTCTGTTCACAAATAAACAAAGTTTAATAACTAGATATTAAATTGTAAAATTAAACTCAAACCCAAAACCTATTTCAAGACAAAACTGCACAGTTTGATGATGCGCGTTCTCAGGAATAATGCAACTTAATTATTTGACCACATAATACGTTATAAGTCTGGGTCATTATACAAGAGACAAAATTGATTGCCCCTCAACTGTTCTGAACAATGACTTTGTACTAATCAACCACTTTAGACAGAAAATCAACTCAATTGTGCAGGAAACGCTAGAAAATTAAGGCAACCCCACGTTTGCAAGAATAATGGTGGAGAGGTTCAGAAATCAAGAAACAAGAAAATAAGCACCATCAATACCATCGAGCAATCGACATGACTCGTTAATTTGCAATCAAAAGATGAGAGATGTATGTGGAAATTATACAAATAGAACAGCTCAAATTATGACTTAGTGAATTTACTTAAGTAAAATCTTCCGCTAGTTTGGACTAATCTTCAATTTCCTAGTATTTTACTGTTTTTTTTCTTTCTGGGGCAATAAAGATTGTCTTTATATACCTCCTAAAAAAAGCACACTCATTTCAATTTATACTTCTCAAATAGAGGCAAAAATATGTTTAGACTAATATGTTTAGGAAAACATTCATTTACACTCTTCTCACCTCCAACTATCAGGCATGAGATTCAAATTCTGAATCTGACAACAAGAAAAACTCAGGATCCTCTCGTTTTTTGTTGAAAAAACTAAAGGCAAAAGATAGCTACTAATTTTAGATAAATGATGTTAAAGTAAACCTCTCTTCTTCTTCTTTTTTTGGCTTGGTACAGTTTTTCATGTTATGTTGTTGTCTTCAATGTTTTAAAAACAGGACCGTTAATTGAACCGGTGAAAGGAAAGGGTCAAGGTTCAACCGGTCGGACTGGTTCAACCTCGGTTCAATGAATTTTTTAAAAAATAATTTATATAAATATATATATATGCACAAACTAAGACATGTAATGGATAATTTAATACTTTATATGATGAAAAGTTTACTATTTTCGAATAACTTGGATTTTTAAAAATAAAAATTTAAAATATTTATAAGTTAAAACAAATAAATTTCATCTCAATTTCAATTATATCTACCAAAAAAATCTTAAATCCAATCCAAAAATATCACAATATTTTAAAATTATACAAAATTCACGTCTATGAAAATTTAGACATTGTGAACTTAAATTTTAATTTACGTTTTGGAATTTAGAAATTGCAATTTAAAAAAGGAAGTTTGGAATTCGAAAGAAGTCAAGAGAATTGAAAATAGAAATGCAAATTTGATAAGAAACAAAAAATGAGATAAAAGTGAGTGGTTGTGGCATTAAATAATTTGGGTTAAAGAAAAATAATTTTTTTAACTTTTTTTAATTTAATAGACAAAAACAAAATTAAAAGATGGAAGAAAATATCAATAAATTAAAAATAAAGAGGTTTGATTAAAAAAGGAGTGACAAAAGAAAAGATGATGGAGAGAGAGAGAGAGAGAGAGAGAGAGAGAGAGAGAGAGTTGAAAATTAAAAAAAAAAGAGTCATGAGAGGATGAGATTTTGTTAAAAAAATGGAACAAAAGAAATATGAGTATTTGTTTTATATAAATAAGTTATCAAAAAAAACTAATAAGATGTGATGGTGCAATGGTTACTATATTGGTCTTCTATTACCAAGGTCTTGAGTTCAATCTTGCTAGTTGCATTTTGCCAAAAAAAAAAAAAAGAGGAAAACTTGAAAACCGGAAATTGCCGGTTCAAATCTGGTTCGGCGGTTTCACAGTTCAACCGGTTTTTGACCGGTTTTCTGACAAAGTCAACCCTAGCATTGAACCGGACCGATGCCATGCCCGGTAAGGTTCAACCGATCGAACCGACCGGTCCGGTCCGATTTTCAAAACACTGGTTGTCTTACCGTAGTTGCAGCTATTAACTAAGTGTTCACAAATGCTACTTCTATGCAGAGAATTTGTCTAATTAGGTAACCATGTTATTTTACAAACACATTCGCCAAAGGTTGCTTGTATGGTTCAAGATGCATAACTAAAGAAATAGTTAGCACTTCGAGAAGCAAAGAAAGGTAGGGAATAGGAACCACCACACCAAAGTCTTCAAATTTTGTGTTTTTTCCCTTTCAAATTTGGAAAGATTTTAAACACTTTACTTACAAATTAAACCTTATGTTCGTGCAAAAAATTTTATAAACTTTCATGTTGATTCAAATATTATAAATATATGAAGTCCAACTCTTCAAAATAATTTTAATTATCCTAACGTTGATTTGGAAGTTTTGAAAATTTTTTAATGCAAATTAATTTGCTAGCAAAATCTCATAATGAAACGGGTGTTGGGATTTCCAGATTCATTGCAATTCATGGCATCTTCTTTTATAGAAAAGTGTTGGGTTTAGTGGTAAGGTGAAAGGAATTATAAAAAAGGGAATCCTGAATTCAAGGCCTCCCACTTATAAAAAGGAAATTGAAAAGAACAAGGCATCTTCTCTGAGCCGTGGTGGGAATTTTAGTAGGATCTAAGGACCAGTCAAAACTAAATCCAAGGTTCCAAGATGATCCGAAATGATAATTTTTAACATTTTGAAGTTGAACAGGATGCCAGCAAAAGGCCTCCATCTAATTTTGAAAGGTGCATAATTTTTAACAAAAACGAAAAACCTATAAGTAGTACACATGATTCAAACTTTTCTAGGAAAAAGTTCTTTGTCACCTTCAAATTCAGCTTTGTTTGGAAAGCAATTTTTATATTATTGGTGAATACATTCTTAATCACTTTTTTTTTACCTCTTTTACATCAAATAGTTATAGTATATTTAAGAGGAGTTTTGGTTAGGCATCAGACCAAAAGAGCAAGTCATGGGCTTTTGAACCATTAAACATTTAGTGCTATTTAAACTCCTCTGTATTTTCAGTTTTAGGTGCTTTTTGACCTTAGGAATTATTTCCTAGATTTTGTATTCTCTTTTTTGTACTCTTTTTTTGTTATAGTAAATCTGCTACCTCTTCGTCCTTGAACGTAGGTCAATTTGGCCGAACCACGTAAAATTCTATTTCCTCTTTTCTTGATTTATTTATTATGTTATTGTCATTATTGAGTTGCTAAAAATCCTATTATTCTCATTGGTCGATTTCCTGGGACCAAAACTATCAAGAAAATAAGAAACAAGAAAATTAAGAAATTAAGAAATCTTACGGTACTTGCAGCTATTAACTTGGTGTTCACAGATACTACTTCTATGCAGAGAATTTGTCTAATTAGGTAACCATGTTATTTTACAAACACATTCGCAAAAGGTTGCTTGTATAGTTCAAGATTCATAACTAAAGAAATAGTTAGCACTTCGAGAAGCAAAGAAAGGTAGGGAATAGGAACCACCACTTCAAAGTCTTCAAATTTGGAAAGATTTTAAACACTTTACTTACAAATTAAACCTTATGTTCGTGCAAAAATTTTTATAAACTTTCATGTTGATTCAAATATTATAAATATATGAAGTCTAACCCTTCAAAATAATTTTAATTATCCTAATGTTGATTTGGAAGTTTTGAAAATTTTTTAATACAAATTAATTTGCCAGTAAAATCTCATAATGAAACGGGTGTTGGGATTTCCAGATTCATTGCAATTCACGGCATCTTCTTTTGTGGAAAAGTGTTGGGTTTAGTGGTAAGGTGAAAGGAATTATAAAAAAGAAATTCTGAATTCAAGACCTCCCACTTACAAAAAGGAAATTTAAAAAGAAAAGGCATCTTCTCTTAGCTGTGGTGGGAATTTTAGTAGGATCTAAGGACCAGTCAAAACTAAATCCAAGGTTCCAGGATGATACGAAACGATGAGTTTTAACATTTTGAAGTTGAACAGGATGCCAGCAGAAGGCCTCCATCTAATTTTGAAAGGTGCATAATTTTTAACAAAAACGAAAAACCTAAAAGTAGTACACATGATTGAAG